GGCTGAGCTGGTGTGGAACAAGATCCACAGCAACACCAAGCCCTTCAGATGGATCTCTGATACTCCATTCCTCTATAATGTGCAGAGGAGGATTCCTGACTGTAGCAAGGCAAAGGAAGTGTTGGGGCTTTGAGGCTACCACCACCCTCTCAGATATTCTGGATGAACTCATCCCCTGGATACAACAGCAGATTGATTTGGGCAACATGTAAACTTATAACAGTTGCAGTCACATGTTCTCACATGAAAGTACTGTTGGAATCATATAGACAATCAGATCTGTGGCTGTGAGGTTGTGTCAGACAGAAACAACACCCAAGTGCAATTTCACTCTTTAAATATTTGTTTTATGGCCAGTAGTGGAAGATGATCACATTCCCCTCCTCCTCCTCCTCAAGCTTCAGCAAACAGTAGTCTTTGACTCTCTTCCCCCAGCAAACAGAAGTCCTCCTGCCATGAGGTGTGTGAGGATGAAGTGGGCCATGTCGCTCGGCAGGTTGTCCGCGAAGGCGGCAACCGTGGGGTTGTAGAAGGAAATGCTGTCCAGCACCGTGGTGGCCTCATCGAGGGAGAGGCTGTAGACCGCAGCAGTGTTGGCGGGCAGCTGGACGACCACAGTTCCTTATCTGGTGGATCTGTGTCTGATTGGAGGATCGCGTGGCCCGCCACGATCAACTCAGGCGCCACGTCTGTTGCACACAGGTCCCTCCCGACTCGTTGCGCAGGTAGAGAATGTTGTCGTTCAGCAGGTCATCCCTCTAGGGATCCATAGAGGGTTGTGACTTGAACAACCACCAAGAATATGTAACTGTCTGTCCTGGAATGTGGAGGGCGCTGCCAAGAGAACACCATGCCCTCATCCCAGGCCCTTCTTGAGGATCGCTGGTGTTCTGGGCATTGGCGTCCGGTTGAACGGTGTCACCTCTACGTACGTGGTGGTGCACGAGATTGGCCACAACATGGGCCTGAACCACGCGAACATGGCCGAGACACCTACCTTTGCGGCCTCGCGCGAGTACGCCAACGTGTACGACATCATG